TTGGTCTGGTTTCTCAGTTGAGACCCGTCTGGCTTGGGAGACCCTTCAGCATAGCTCTCAACCTCACTGAAGCATGCAAGCGCCTCCACCTCAACAAGGCCTGTGCCCATGGAGGGTATTATTATTATTATTATTATTATTATTATTATTATTATTATTATTATTATTATTATTATTATTATTATTATTATTATTATTATTATTATTATTTATTATTATTATTATATTGCAACACGATTCACACTTTAGGAATGGTAGACACAAATGCTCAAACTGCTTTTTGCATGGGATAGTTTTCAATGGAAAATGTGGAAACCTAGCATAAGATAATAGCTCTCTTGTCTAGTGAAAATGTCCTCATGCGACTGGCTTGCAAAGCTGATTCACAGAAACTCAGGAATCAAACACATTGCACAAAGTTATCTGATGTGGCAATAGGAAATGCACCTCTCCTCCAATCTAAGATGTGGCTCCTTTTAAATGCTCCTTTTCTTTTTGTCTGACTCGTTTTAAATAAGTTGACAGGTAAATGCACTTGGAGCCAAAATGTAAAGATAGGAGTCAAAATGTAACTGATAGAGTTTGGATTTTTCTTTGGGAAAAAGTCATGAAGCTGTCACCTTGAATCAGGCTTAGTGAACATTTATTTAAAATTATGGCATGTTAGCACAGACACCAAGAGGACTGAAATAAATGTAGAAGCCTTACGTCTTCTCACATTGTTGGCAATGTACCGATTTCCATTAGAGCCATTATGTATGTGCAGAGAGTGTGCCCTAAACTACAAGGGTTCGGGGATACAAATACTGACCAAGATCAGAGAAGTGTCCAGAATAGTAATCCTTTTGGACTGGTGTATCTACAAAGCAAGCAACTAAATACAGTATCTATGGCATCTGTTGATAAATGGCATAATTTGCCCAGTCATGGCTTTGCTAAATCTCTGGGAACAGAAATGCTTAATGTTACCAAACAGTAGAAAATACCAAATCACAAGCAGCATGGGATGATAAATAAGCTGGAACTGTCTATGTGTAGAAATTTATCACTCCTTAGAAGTCATTTCTCCAAATTTCAAATTGCTATCTTGGTGGATTGTTTCACTGAGGAGTCACTATTTCCATCCTCAATAAAAGACTATTCGACAAGTATGAAAGTGTTCTCCACCTTCCCCATTTAGATTGTTTTATCTTCAATAACAACTTTTCTAATAACCCTATTTGTGAGGAACTGCCTGCTTTGGGTTTGTCTAGAAAGCTTCTGCTGAGTTGTTATAACTCCTGCCACCCATATCCATCCAGCACAGAGGTCTCAAACTCAATTTACCTGGGGGCCGCTGGAGGCAGAGTCTGGGTGAGTCTGGGCCACATCAGATTTTTCCGCCAAGCGGAGTAAGGGCCCAAGGAAGCTGCCCGGGAGTTTCCTTAGCCTGGGTGGGGCTCCGAGGAGGAGGAGGAGGAGGGGCGTGGGAGCCCTCATCACCAGCCACACACCCCTCTGGCTCCTTCTTCACTACCACCACCACCACCAGCAGCAGGACGAAGAAGGGGAGAAGGGAGGAAGCGCTAGTGACTGCCTAACTGGTGGGGTGGGGAGGAGGGCACGACACAATTTTTAAACAAAATCCTCACAGAATCGCCTTGCCAAAGGAGAAAAGCCCCCATCGGTACCTGCAAAATTGAACAGAATGGGGTGGGGCCCCCCACAGGTTTGTGTGCGTTCACACACACATGGAGGTCCGGCAACCTTCCTCTGAGGGCCCCCTCAAAACAGGCACACTCAGCAGCAGTAGCTACCCCCACCATGACAGGGGAGCAAACTTTGTGAGGCGAGCCCAGGCAGCCTCCAGAGCTGAGGTGGCTGAAGCAGGATGAAGAGGAGGAGGAGGAAGCACCACCGGGTGCTGAGGCGGGTGCTGTCCGGGCTGCTGCTGGGGGTGCCGAGAGAGAAAGAGAGCCAGAGAGCCGCTTCCCTGGAAGAGGCAGTGGTGGCGGCAGCTGCTGTTGGCAGCGCTGTTGGAGGTGCTCTTCAAGGACAGGCTGGGAGCAAGCTCCGCTCTCAGGCATTGCTCGGCGGCAGCTCGGGCGCTCGGGGGAAAGGGCTGGCAGTATGCCTCGCTCGCTGGCTCTCCCCCAAGATAGTGCCTCTTGCACCCTCCATCCAGAACTGCAGCCTGCCTGCCAGCGTCTTGGGAGAGAGCTGGCGAGTGAGGCGAAGCTTTTTTTAAACTCTTGACAGCAGAGGATGTATAGGCACTTCAAGGGGGGACAGGCAAGGTGGGGGCCGCATGTTTGAAACCCCTGATCTAGCACCATCTTGAGGAACATCAGGCTTTTCCTAACTAGAGGGTGCGCCATCATCCGCTTGTCCACTTGTAGCTACTTCAGATCAGCCACCTTAAATGGTTCTTTTTATGTACAAGAAAATATTTCTGCATTTTAACCATATCTGTCTCACTGTATAGAAAACAGCTTTCAGGTCTACTGTTTATCTTTTGCTTAAACTGGTTCTCATAAAGATGAACTGAAATCACATTTGCATTTCATTTCACATTAAATTCCATGTATTATCAACTAGTCTCCTTTCTTACAATAATGACAAAAATGGACCAGTTTTAAAATTTGAGGATTAATAGAAGATAGTCATATCGAAGATATTGCTATGGATGACAATAATTGAAAAAAACAACTGTCTCTGCAGAAAAAATATCAGGAACTAAATTAGTAGATCTGGACCACTGATATTGGCAAATTAGAAATGTACACGAGGAAAGTAATTATGGTGAGCAGAAATAGACAGGAAAGTAGTCCAGGTTAGAGGCTATGAATGAAAGATGGTTCCTTTTGAGTTTAATGAAGAAATGCTTCTATTCACAAGTAGTTCAATATTAAAACTCCCTCCAAGCATAAGAGAGTGAATATGTGCATATCCTTAGAGCACTTGGTACTTCACCTGTACTATTATTGTTCAGTAGTTCTGAAAGGTTGGTACTGATTGTGGTGATACACACAGAGTCTGCTTTGTTGACGGAGATCAGCTCCTGTCAGTTCTCTTAGTACTCTACTAAAAATCCCTGTATAAACATATATGCCTTTAAAGACTATCTGACCATACTGTTCACTTTTATGGGCAACGGCTCCTTAAAAGACCTCTCCTGTATGCTTGATATTATTCTAGCCAAAGTTGCAAAGAATTAAGCCTGGGATCTGATCTATGCAAAGTATGTGCTCCATCACCGAACTCTGGTCCACAGCAGCCCACAATGTCCCATCCCATTCTTGCTGTAGCACTGCTTCCACAAATGCTTTATGTACACAGGAATCATTGCCATCTCATTTGTCCAGAGTTTTGGGGGTTCTGTGCCACCAGTATGTGGATGACACCAAACTCTATCTCTCTTTGCCATGTAGATACAAGGAAGCTGTTTCGGCACTAAATCTCTGTCTGGTGTCAGTAATGGACTAGATGACAGTGCATAAACTGACACTTAATCCAGACAAGACAAAGGTGCTCCTGCTCATTCGAAAGGCAGATAATGTGCTGGATGAGATGACACTTCATCTGAAAACACAGGTGCACAGCTTGGGGGTATTCCTGGATTTGTCTCTGAACCTGGATGCCCAGGTTTTGGTGGTCACTATAAGTGCCTTTGCACAATTAAAACTAGTGCGCCAGCTGCGCCCGTCCCTGGAGAGGTCTGCTCTGGTCATGGTGACACAGGCCTTAGTTACATCTTGACTAGATTACTGCAACACACTCTACATGGGGCTGCCTCTGGAAAGTGTTTGGGAACTCAAGCAGGTCCAAAACATGGCAGCCAGATAGCTAACTGGGGCTGGTCACAGGGATCACACAACCCCCTGTTACACCATCTCCACTGGCTGCCAATCCATTTCTAGGCACAATTCAAAGTGCTGGTTCTAACCTATAAAGCCCTAAACAGCTTGGGTTTAGCTATCTCAAAGACTGTGTCTCCTTCTTTGAGCTACCCAAATATTAAGATCATCAGAGGAGTCCTTTCTCTTAATCTCACCACCCTCACAGGTACATTTGTTGAGGACATGGGAAAGCGCCTGCTCTGCTGCTGCTCCCAGACTTTGGAACTCCCTCCTACAAGAGGTCAGGCTGGGGCCATCTTTGCTGTCCTTCCGCAAGCAGATGAAGCTGGCAAGCTTTCCCTGAGTTATTGGCTGCCTGCATGAGGTTTTTTAATGGACTGCTGTGCCTTACTGCTCTGAATGTGTTTTTGGTGTTGCTTTTGTTTACCTTTAGTGTGGTGTTTGTTTGATCCTTTTTAGGATGTGTATACTATACATACTGTTTGGGCTCTTTAAGAAAGAAGAAAGAAGTATGCTGCTTATATACTGCCCCACAGAACTTAAAACACTCTCTGGGTGGTTTACAATTCAGTTATGCAGGTTACACATTGCCACCGCCCCCCCCATAAGCTGGGTAATCATTTTACCAACTTTGGAAGGCTGAATAAACCTCAAGCCAGTCACCTGGAATTGAACCTAAGTTTTGAGCAGAGTTTTGGATGCAGTATTGCAGTTTAACCACTGTTTCACATGTAGTTAAAATTGTATTTTAATGATGTAAGCCACCTTGAGTCCTTTTTAAGTAGAAAGATGGGGTAAAATATTTTAAATAAATAAATCTTGTAACTTAAACTTTCCTCACACTTTGGGAGCACTCATTCAGCTGAAATTTATTGGAACGAGCATTTCGTGGAAAGCTAAGCTGCCTGACTTCTGGTAAGAAACAATTGTTTGTGAGCCCTTTGAGGGGGTCCACGGCCTGTAATGTACAACAGACCTCAAAACTGGAATTATACAGCGAACTTAGCAATATGAGATACACACAAAAACCTGGAGTATCTATGAGGACAATATGCACTGGAAAGCAATGCAGAGTGTACACAAACTTGTTCAAACTGAAATTAAGTATTTCCCATGAAGAAAAATAGCTTGAACTGAAACTTTATAATACATTTTACATACCATAAATTCCTGTTGAAATACAGGGGAATGCCTGAAAGATATAAAAAAAAAACAAGTTGTAGATTACATTTGTTTTTCCCCTTTCCACTCTAGAGCCACTTGTTATATAAAATCATTTGGTATAAGGAAATCACACACTTTTTTTTAGTATAGCAACATCTGTATATTTAAGTCAGCACGTCATGATACAATCCACCCTTGAGTACTGGAGAGAAATTGTTCAAGGAATCAGGAAGTCATTAACAATTTTCTCCAATAACTCGTGGAGGATGGATATGATCCCACAGTACCCGAGAGAAAGATAAACATATTGCCTTTTGCTGATTGCAGGAAGGAGTGGGTGGGGGGTCTGGGTTGGTTTTTATCAATGAAATTGACTTTAATAAGCAAGAACCTATTACAGCAATTACAAAGCAATCGATGCAGAAGTATCTAGAGGAAACTAGGTTGATCACCCGAAGCCAGTACAGATTTGTTAAGAACAAATAACAAACCAGTCTCTTTCTTTGATAGGATAATCCATTTAGTAGATAATATGGATACAGGGGATAAATATCTTGACTCTAAACTGTTCTTTCCAGGAAACTCTTATAAACAAGACAAAAAATTAGAGACCTGTCACATTTGTATTCTGCCCTTCTTTCTCCTAAGAAATTGTTTTCCTTCCTATTTTATTTAATACACACTTGGGGAATAGAATAGGCTGAAGGAAGCCTCTTTAGAATTTAAGACTTCATGAAGTCAAGGAACACATTAAAAGGGAAATGTTGTCACAAGCAGTGACCTCATCCTTAACATCACTGGCCACATCGGCTCCAGCCCAGACCTTTGCAGATGGGAAATAAGGTCTAGAGGAACAACTTGTGTTGCTTTGGTTCTGGTTGCCATTCTGACTCTTATTCTACAACATGTGCCTTTTGTTCTCTCTTTTTTTAAACTGAGTTACACCTTCGTATAACTTGGCAATGATGGCTTGAGACCTCAGAGGAAGGACTATCTCTAAAATTTGGGGATGAGGTACCTCCTCTCCCTTGCAACTGCCTCACGCTGTGCCCTATCTGAGACACATGAGGTATCTCATCTGAATTAACATTATCTTCTTGAGCTGCTCTTAAAATCTCAGCACTTTGCCATCATTCTAGGAGCAGTAGCTACATTCATTCACTCATTCATTTAAACATACACCACCCACCTAGCGGACAAGTCACTACATTGGGCGGCTTCCAAGAAAATAGCATAAATACACAGACAAAATTGAAGTAATAAAGATACAAAAGCAGAAATCCATTCTAAAACACACCAATTTAACAAGCATTACAAAACTCCAGATGGCAAACCATGGGATCATCACAAAATTGCTTCAAAATTAAGATTAAAAGGGATAAGGTCTCACCCAAACTGTATAACATACTGTAGTCACTATACTATATAGTCATAACAAATGCAATATTTGAATGCAGAACCTCATGTCATCAAAATGGTAGTGTCAATGTGCAAGAGGGGGATATCAAGATGCACAGGAAACCCCCTTGGCTTATAGAAGTGCAAAAAGTCTTCAGAAAAAGTGTCCTATCATCCAAAAGTGAGAATTAAGTGAGCATGTTCAATAGGAGGCCTGTCTCATGTCTGCGGCACAGAGGCATTACATATGTAAATATAAGTAATATTCTATTTGGAAAATCTTATTTGGGGCATTTGGGCTTCCATGAAAGGGCTACATTTTCAGAACAATATTGAACAAACAAAGAACAATAATAATGGTTTAAAAATACTAAGAAAACATGGCACAGGGGAGAAAGCTGAAGGAACACAGCGTTCCTGTGCTGGAAAAACAAATTAAGGGACAATATGGCAGCAATTTGCAAAAATGTAAACGGCTGTCATGGCAGGAAATGGAGAAAAATGGTTCACAGTTACTTTGGAGGACGGGCAATAGGTATGGCCAGAAATTACATTTAAGATAAATATTACATAGTATTTTCAAAGAGGTGTTGAATTGCTTTCACTGAAAAGCAACAACAGGGAGTCTTCTGATACTTTAAATCCTAACAAGTTTTATTTGATATGTTTTTATGAACTGGAGCTCATTTCTTTAGATCTGAGGAAGTTGGCTATAGTTGAAAAAACTCAAACCAAATAAAACTCGTTAATCTTTAGGATTCCGTAAGACTTGCTGTTTATGCTGTAATAGGCTAACGTAGCTATCCCTGGAAATCATTCCACTGACAGTCTTTAAATTAAGCACAAACTATTAACTCCCATTTCAATACACCTGCTTTCACACAATGAAAGCAAACCACCCACTAAAGAGAGCATATGTATGTATGTACATGCTATGTATGTGTTTTTTTAAATCCCATCTTTCTGCCATTTAAAATAAAATTAAAAAATGACAGTAAAACAACCATTTCTGCACAGTCAGGAAAAACAAAATGAGAGAGACAGAGACATAGCCCCTGAAACCCCACAGGGAAAGTTAGCAGCAGGAAAACCTTGGTGAGCACTCAGTTCTGCTTGCTGGTACTGGTAGCAGTTATTGCCGTTAGGCTTCAGAAGGTGCAAAAATTAGGGATGGACAAAGGACTGAAGGAGATGATGGGTGGGGGGATCTGGGTGGTGGAGGTGGCTATATTTGAACACTATTAGCTTTCCTCCCAGAGAAACAGCAATGGGTAGAGAATTTTTGCTGGGACTGTGACAAAAGAAATGCAATCATATAAACATGCGAACATGCACAGTTACATGCAATTAATTATAAACTGTAACTGAGCTAAAAAATCTAATTCCCCCTTTTTTTGCCTCTTCTGAAGCCAAAAATCAAGCACATGCCCATCCCCAGCCATACCTTGTCAGTACAGCTCACAAACATCCATCTTTGAAAAGAGATTGACAAGAGCTCAAGCATCTGAAGCTAAATCATTAGAGTCACATTTCTTACCATGCCCTACTAGTACAAGAATTCACCCATTTGAAGAGCAAATTATTCAAATTTTATACAAACTGAAATATATGTATTTTCATGAAATGGTAAAATGGCAATTACCAGAATTGCAGAGCTTTAAAGAGTCTTTCAAAGCACAACCATTTGAGCAACAGTTAACCAGCAGTCTAAAATTATATGCTAAAATCAACATCCGGGTCAGAAGCACATGATATTAAAAACAAATAAACAATAAACTAGAGGTCCCTCTGAAACATTTTCCAAGGTGCCAGTTTCAGACGTGCTGTAGATTAAACAGCACCTCTGAGTGTTACTTTTTTTTTCTGCTGAGAAGAACGATATTTCCTGAATAATGACTATTTTAACAGTGCAGTAATACACCACTGAGGTCAGTGTGCACACATATGATAATAAAAATAGATATTTACTATGTTATTGTATGTTCTCATACTAATTAGTAAATGTCAGCTCATTCTAAGTCATGGTGGATTCAAACAACAACACATGCAACACTCAAAATTAGATGAAAATAATCTGATGATTACATTATTATTTCCAAACGCAGTATGACTAAGCATAGGCATTTGGTGCTTAATGGAAAGAGCCAAACCATGGGAAAAGCTTCCTTTAGTGTTATTTGTGTTTTTGCAATAACTGCCAAAAGAGAGATTCTAAATACAATTGATTTTGGTTACAAAAGAGGAGTACACAAGAATTTTGTGTTTCTTTCATGTTACTGCTTTTGTGTAAACTTTCAGTGCCCTTTTGTCTGTCAAATTGCCTGAGAAACTGATCATCCACTTGCATTGTGACTGGGTTGTCTGTAGCCAATCAGAATGTTCCAGGTGAGCAGGAGAGTGAGCATTTTCAGTTTGTAAAATGGACTGGGATTCAGGAACAATATTTTTTCCTTCAGTTGTTCCATCTGTGGGAACACTCTGTGTTCAACATCTGGTGCCCCCATCTTGGATTGCTTTGCCCCCTGATATATGTTCATCTTGGAGCATTTCCTTTTTTGGCTAGCTTTTTCTTCCGGGGATCTCCCCCACCCATTTCTTTGGATTATTTTTGCTGCTGCCAGGCAGCCTGTCTGTATCACTCTGCCTCCTTGAGAAATTTTTTTGGGGTTTTTTCCTCTGATTTCTTTGTAGGGGGTTTTCTCCTTTTTTTGCGGAGAGAGGTCCTTTCCTTTCATTTATTGGATTATTTTTTTCTTTTGCCTGACCTGTCTGCTGCTGCCTGTTGGATTACAGAGAGAGAGAGGTGGCATCAAGTGGTGATGTTGGGGGAGAAATCTTCCATATTCTAGCAGTTTTGTGTAGGGAGTGGTGGTTGTATTTTTTTCCCCTTTATTTGTTGTTTTCCTGGTTTTGGGTTGTGGGTGTGTGCACATTGTGGTGGTTTTGCACTGGATCCCTATGAAGGGATGCTTTCCCAGTCTGATTGATTTAACAAAAATATCTGGTTTATATTTATTCTGCTAAACATGCATATTTTGGTGAGGGTTTTTTTAGGACTGTTTCATCTGCCATTGCTTTTTAGAAATAGTTCTTAAGGGTTCTTTAGAGCTTTCCCTTTTATGCAAAACAAAAGGACCAGTACATGAAAACTACAAATATGAAAGAGTCACCCTTAAAAGAATTTGAAATGAAAGAAATATGAAAACTTTCACTGTGCATGTCCCTAAATATGCCAATTAAAGTCACAGGGAGATGATAATAATCAATCGATTTTTAGGTGAATTATGAGAAAACTGTAGTCTACTCTTTTCAACAACTGATGTATACATGAATAGTAGAAGCCCTCACCATTTGAGATATAATAAGCTACTTACATTACTCAGCTGCTTTTTAAAAATCTTAGAAAACTCTCCTGTCCAGGCTTCCTTCAAATGAGATATAGAACTTGAGAAATGAGATATAGATATTGGAGTCCAGACCCACAGCTCTATTAACATATGTATAGAAACACTACATAATGCAATTCACACAGTACTGTACAGTTATTCCTTACTATGAGCATCACTAGGTGGGAGGAGTATCAGCATGCAAATTAATCATATGATAGCACCTTGTGCTGCTTGGTAAAAC